AAATTTAGAATTAAAAGAGAAAATCTTGCTTGCCCTGCCCACCCCAATCTTTTTTTTTTTTTTCCTGATGGTAACCATGGTTACCCTGGGACCTGGAAACCTTATTGTTCTTCTTGAGGTCAGACACTCCAGATCCTTGCTAGAGACTCCTTTCATTCCACCTTCTCTCCATCTAATTCCATCTTCCATTTTGCATATAAGAATTCTAGCATATCTGTATTATAATCCCCACTTGGCAGCTAAGAATTTGAGGCTCAGAGAGGGGAAGTTAGTTGCTGAAGGACACAAGGCAGAGGCAAGGGTTCAATCCCAGGTGAGTGTATCTAACCCAAGTTCAGTGTTCTTTCCACTATATTCCTCTGCCTGACTCCAATCCAGAATCTTAGAGCTTAGCTGTGCCACACAAGGCAGCAGATAAATTCTCAGGTTTAAATATTATTAAGGGCCCATTTTTGAGGAAAGAAATGACCTGGTCCCGTGAGAACTGTGACTGACCGTTCCTTTATGGCCAAGTCCTGAACAGTGGCAAAATAGGTCAACTCCTTAAAGAAGTGTCAAGCTTGGGTGAGCTAGTAACTTAGAGCCTGACTTGATCAGTGAGAAGGGCCTAGGTTTGGAGWCTTGCCCACTAAGGCAGGATCAGAAGCAGGAAGAAAATATCAAGCTGAGTGCCGGGGGCGGGGAGACAACCAAGTGGTGAAATGAGCAAAAGGAGTTTCCAGAGAAAATTCCCAGCATGCCCCAAACATCCCACACTCTTGCCCACCACTGTGCCTTTGCACATACTCTGATCAGAATTCCCTCATTCCATTTGTCTGCTCAACAGTTTTACCCTTTCAATCAACTCATAATGTCTCCACCCCTCCCAAACCAGACCACTCTCTCTTTATAGAATTTACCACCCTGTATGTGTGTGAAATATTTGTTTCCTTGCCTATCTCCCATGAGAGTATATGAACTGAGGCTCTGGACTGTGCCCCTGGGTTATTATGCTTTGGGTACCTCACAATGTCTAGCTTATGATTCATCATGTAATAGGTGCTCAATCAATATTTGTTTAATGGTGCACGAATAGATTCAGATAGATGGAGAGCAGCAAGTTGTTCACAATTTACTGCAAGAGACTGTTTCTTTTTGGGACTCCAGCTCTGCTTATATCTTCATTTGCAGGGTTGAGGTTGTGGCTCAATGGTAAAGAACTCACCTAGAATGTGTGAGGCACTGGGTTCGATCCTCAGCCCCACATAAAAACAAATAAACAGAATGAACGTATTATGTCCATCTACAACTAAAGACATTTCAAAAAAGAACTTCACTTGCAGCGAGTGAGAAATGGTTCTGTTTTTTTTCCCTCTATTGTCCCCTTCTGTCACCCTCAGCTCACTTCAGACACTCAAGGCATTGACATAGAAAGATGGGTAAGAAGTAGGAAAAATCAAGTATTATAGCAGGCTTTGTGCTTTTTTGGTCTCACAGATGACCATTACTGTCTCTATCCATCATTAAAGTGTCATGAAATGGTTTTAGGCTCCTCAGTAGTTCCCTGCTGGGCTCCTTTCCTTACAGGTCCCTTAGCAAAAGACTTCTCTGTTACCAGTGCTTATTTGTCTATATTATTATTCTTGGGCCCCTTTACCCCTACTGAACAGGACCTAGGGTGGTTCTGTAGGCTCTCTCTTATAGTCCACATCTGGCCTTCAGAAAACACTCACTGACAAATTCTGGGAGAGTAGGCAATATCCACAGACTCTCCTGGCTCTGCCACCAAAGCAGCTAGCAGGTTTGTATTGTCTCTGGCTGCTGGGATTCCCAGGCAGGAAGCAGGCCTAGTCACCATGCTCCCAGCTATAATAGTGATGGATTTGGCACCTTAAGTTCTTGTGGAAGCCGCTTTCCCCAATCACTTGACCAGAGTATTTAAAGATAGCATTCCCGCCAATCTTCCCCAAGGAGGGGTGAGGACCCACAATCAGAAATATTGCTATACAAATTCTCTATCCCCTGTGCTCTTGATTCCTCTATATTCTTGTAATCTATAAAGGTTTCAGAAGTTTAAAACAGATGTTAGGAAAATATAATGTCATGGGGGAAAAATGGTCTAGGTAGAGGGCAAAGTATGTAGTCCTGGTACAGAAAAGTTTGGTATGTTTCACATTCCCAGAGATGGAATTTAGGATGTAAAGAAAGAGCCCAATTCACCTGGAGGGGCCAAGTTAGGTTTTCTTCCAAATGATCCATTGTCTCTCTCTCTTTATTTCTCCAACCCAGCCTCCTTTGAGGACTCCTCCCCAGTCTGATTCATCAGATGGGTCTAAAATGGACAGACTCTAATTGTGTCTGAAGTCTTTTTTCATGGGACCCTCCAAACAATTCAAGTGATGTGTATGAACACTTACGCATCCCAAATGTTCCTGGCACTGGGCAGGACATTTGAAGGCTGATGCCTAGAGAACCTCTAGAGGGCAATGTTACTTACTCTCCTGCATCAGTAATTTCACTTTCCTGCTTTAGTTGTACCACTTTATTTTTTTTTTTTTAATTTTTTTAATATTTTATTTTTTAGTTATCGGCAGACACAACATCTTTGTTGGTATGTGGTGCTGAGGATCGAACCTGGGCCGCACGCATGCCAGGCGAGCGCGCTACCGCTGAGCCACATCTCCAGCCCCTATTATTTTTTTAATATTTATTTTTTTAGTTATAGTTGGACACAATACCTTTATTTATTTATTTTTATGTGGTGCTGAGAATCGAACCCAGGGCCTCACATGTGCTAGGTAAGCGCTCTACCACTGAGCCACAACCCCAGCCCCACTTATATTATGTTTTAGTACAATTTCCAACTTACAGATAATACATTGTGTCATTATTCAATCATAGAACATACTATATGTTCAAGAGATGTTTCTGGGTAAAAGAATAAATAAGGGAATGAATTAATCCCCCTTTACAAAGATCAAAGATTACCATTTGATTTTGATCCCCTTCTAGTTCCTTTACCCCTTTATTGGTATGTTTTGGTAGTCTGAAGCCTAGGTTTACTCCTCATAGTTGTAACATATTGTCTTTTTTGCGATGGATTTTATGTTATTAAAATTTTTAAGACTTAGGTTGACTTGATTCATTCAGTCAACGAATAACATTCAATTTAGCACCCACCAAGTGTCAGACTATGTGTTGAATCCTAGAAAGAAGTCAGGGACTCTTGACCTCATAAAGCTTAAATTTCAGAGGTGGGGAGAAGATAATAGGTAAACAAATAAAATAAGTAGAAAGTGCTATGTAAGAAACAGACAACTATGATGGAAAATATAGGGTAAGTTTTACTTTAGATAGCATGGTAAGGGAAGACTTAACTTAGGAAATATTTTAAAAAATGAGACAGGAAAAAGGAGAAGGTACCAGCTGAGCCAAGAGCTGGGGGGAAAGTGGTCTAGATAGAGGGCAAAGTACTGCAAAAAGTCCTGGTACAGAAAATTTGGTATGTTTCACATTTATGCAGTTTTGTTTTTTTTTTCCATGCCAAGTAGTGTGGCAGGGAATATTCTTGTACAGGGCTTGTTGTTGAATTATTTCCCTAGGGTGGCTTCTCACCACTGATTCTTTCCATCTTTTTCTGCCCAGTACCTGGAGATGTTTCTTCTTCCCTCTCCAGAAACTGCTTTTCCAAATCGGTGTCCTCACTTTCCTATCTCCTTTCACTCCACTTTCTCTTTATTGCAAAGTAGATATTAAGAAGTTCTTACACAAGAGAAATAAAATGTAGCTCCTAACACAGTGTTCTCCCAGGTTCTCTTTGTCTTAACCAGAGGCCTATTGCCTATTTCACTTTTGCTACTCATTAAGTCACTCAACACTTAATGAGCATCTATTTCATCCAGGCTTTGTGCTGTGTGTTGGAAGCAGAAATGGCCAAAAAATAATCTTTATCCTCAAGGAGCTCACAGTCTCCTGAAGTGCTACCCAAAATGTGTACCTAATACATCGGAATCACATGGGGGTGATTCCTGATTCCCCCATTGGTTTGCTGAATGTTAAGAGGTAGAAATTTCTCAGCTTTTTTGTTTTCAATCCCTACTAAAAATTGAGAACCACTTAATGGAATTGAGAACCACTTAATAGGCAGATAAAGGGAATATTAATTCTAAGAAAGTGTATTGAGGGCTGGGGATGTGGCTCAAGCGGTAGCAGCTCGCCTGGCATGCGTGTGGCCCGGGTTCCATCCTCAGCACCACATACAAAGATGTTGTGCCCGCCAAAAACTAAAAAATAAAAGATTAAAATTCTCTCTCTCTTAAAAAAAAAAAGTGCATTGATAATTGATACACAAAATGCCTTGAGAATAACACCGCAGTCACAGGGGGAAAATTTAGGGGAATCTTGATTACGGAGAAAATGAGACCAACTCTATGTAGCTCTTTGGTCACATTTAGGCCATTCAGGCAAAGGTAACACTGTGCAAAGGTATGTAGAGGGCTGAGTGTTCCAAATAACACTAAGTCATTCTGCTGCAACTGTTGTATTGCCTAGGGCTGCCCGGACCGTCGGGGTTCGAAAACGAGAAGGAAGACCAGGGTTGCAAGTTTTACAGCTCCTTTCTCACGCAGTTGGTATTCTACGCGGTTTGTAAGTAGAGCGATGCGCAGGCGCGTCTCGAACCAAGTGAATTTTTTTATTACGCATGCGCGTTATGTAACGCCGAAGCCAACAGGGGGATAATTGAGGCAAGATTTTTCTGTTCTTGAAATGTCCTTTGCTGTAATCCAAAAGCTCTGGCTGTCTCCATTTCTGGCAAGRGATCCTATGTCTCCATATAACCCCCACTTTCCTTCTGGATGTCTCGAGTAAGCCTGACGCCAGTACCCAACATGGTGGAGATCCGCCCCCGGCGCTGTCGGCCTATAGGCGCGCTACACTGTGGGGCGGGCCCTCCCAAAGGGCGGGAGTTTGGGGGCGGGGTTTGAGCGCGAGCCCCGAGGGCTCCCGCCCCCGGCCCGGCCTCTCGGCGGCTGCGGCCGCTCCTTTGCTGAGCAGCGCTCCAGGAATCTGCCCGAGCTGATCGCGGTGAGGTGGGGCTCAGAAGCAGGCGGGAGGTGCCCGGGTTAACGGTCCGAGGCCCAGGGACCGGCCCGCCTGGGGCGCCCGCGGGAATCCCGTTTGGACAGCGGCCTCCGGTTTCCCAGGAGGACCCGAGGCCCAGAGACGGACTGGAACTTGTCCTAGGGCCCCTGGCCTGCCCGTCTCAGCTTCCTGCTGCCGGCACCACTCTGGGTTCCAGTACGCGCAGAAAGAACTTCCAACCTTGGTATCCAACCGCCGGCAACCCCGGGCTGTGCGGGTACGCACTGCGCTCTCCCGCCCTTCTCCCTGCGTCCCCGGGCTTTGCACGTGATCCATCCGAAAGCCCAGTCCCACCCACTGCCCTGGCGCGCGACCCTGGAACTCTGTTCTTCGGGACCCAACTCAATAGCAGTTCTTTGAAGCCTTTCCCAGCCGTCTTCGCCAGGCGCAGCTAACCTCGCTTTGTGGCTTTTTGTGCATTTTCACAAATCGCTTTTTCTGCCTTTTCACACTTTGAGCTCGGTCTTTGGACGTTATGCTTTGCCTTTTTGGTCTCTGTATTCAAGGATCTTGCACATGATGATGATAAGAGCTAATATTTACCGAGTAGTCGCAAAGTGTCAGATTTTCCTAAATGCATTACATGTAAAGTCTATTTAATCTTCACAGAGACCTAGAGGTGTGTTTTGTATCTTCACATTTTGCATATGAAGAAACTGAGGCACTCACGGATGGAGTAATATTCCTGAGTCTCACAACTAATAAGTGAGTAGAGCTGGAAACTGTCCCCAGGGCATGTGATAACTTTACTCCATTGCCTTTGGGTTTAGTAAATGACTATTGAATTGATTTTCATATTAGCCCCTTGAGTTACGAAGGCCAGGATTATGATTCCCATTTTACTGACATGTCTTTAAAAGAAGAATTGATGTTCTCAAATTGATAGAGTGAGTTCATGACAAAAGGATAAAACTGGGGTTGACCCGGTATAACTATATTCTGTCCATCATATTCTACCTTTTATTGCTCTTTTTCCCTCAGAAAGCTGCAGGCGTAGATGTCATTATTTCACACCCTTTAAGAAATGACCCTTAGAATTGTGGCTTCCTAGTCTATAAGTTAGGAGGCAGGTAATGTAATGGAGAGTGCATACAATTTGAAATCAGATTGGTGTTTAGTCTCTGCTTTGCCACTGACCAGTTATGTCCTTTTTTTTTTTTTTTTTTTTTGAGCCTTAGTTTTCTCTCTCTCTCTCTCTCTCTCTCTCTCTCTCTCTCTCTGTCTCTCTCTCTCACCAGGGATTTAATCCAGGGGTGCTTTACCACTGAGCTACGTCCCCAGCCCTTTTAATTTTTTATTTTGGGACAGGGTCTTGCTAAGTTGCTGAAGCTGACTTTGAACTTGCAGTCCTGCCTCAACCTCCCAAGTCCCTAAGATCACATGAGCCATCACTCCTGCCCACTGAACCTTAGTTTTCTTGATTATAAAATGAGGACCATAATTTCATCTCTAAATTGTGTTGTACCAGGGGTTGGACCCAAGGGCAYGTAACCACTCATCCACATCCCCAGCCCTTTTTATTTTTTATTTTGAGATAATCTCACTAGGTTGCTTACAGACTCACTAAATTGCTGAGGCTGGCTTTGAACTTGTCTCAGCCTCCCGAGCTGCTGGAATGATAAGTGTGCATCACCTTGCATGGCTATGAGAGGTTTTKTTTTTTTTTTTAATTAATGAAGATTGCAAGTTATTATTGTGAAAGTAAAGTGCTGTACAAACTGTATAAGCTTTGAGTTTTGCTTTTAGAGTGGCAATATAACTGTCAGCATTTTGTAAGATTATGAAGAATAATGTAGATCATGTTACCTAATGTTGTTGTATCAGTTAGTTGAATATGTAATAGGCACCTGTTACATACCAGGCATTATTTTAGGGGCTGAGAGTACAAGTATCCAATAAAATAATGTTTTGTATTGGTAGAATTTACATTCTGGTAGGTTATTMTATAATAATAGTTAGACAAGAACAAATAAGTAAATAGTAAGGTGAGTAGAAATACCAGCATGTGTGGAGGAGTGATGGTATTTTATATGGTTAGGGAACCACTTACTGAGCAGTGACATTTGAAYAGATACCTAGGTGAAGGCGGTAAGGATGCAAATCATGAAGATAACTAGGGAAGAGGCCATGAAATGGGTTGGGTTTGGTGTGTTCCAAGCATGCACAGCAGGGAGACCAATGTGGTTGGAGGGTTGGGAACAAAGGGGAAAGGAATAGAAAGTAGAATTAAAACAAATGGGTCTGGGGTCAAATAATTATGACCCTGAAGACCATTGTGAGGATTTTGGTAGAGAGTTCTGAGTGGCTTCATCTGTTATATTTTAAAAGGATTATGACTACTCTGTTGAGAAATAATAAAATTTAGGAGTCATCRCTACCATCTAGAAATCTTTTGTAGTAATCCAGATGTATTAGTTATCAGTTGCTGTGCAATAAACTACCACAAAAGTAAGCAGTTTAAAATAACAGTCATTTATTGTCTCTCATATTTCTTGTGGATCAAAAATCCTCATGTGGATTAGCTGGCTGTTTCTGGCTTAGGATCTCTAGGCTGCAGTCAGACTGACAACTTGAGCTGCAGTGATTTGAAGGCTTCAGCAGGGGCTGGAAGATGTGCTTCCAAGATGGCTYACTCACAGCACTTTTGGCAGAAGGCCCAGTTCCTTACCTCTGGGCCTCTTCACAGGTGCCTTTGTATCCTCAGTTCAGAATAGTTGGCTTCCCCCAGAGAGACTGATCAGAGACAGAGAGAAAGACAGTAAGCAAACAAGGAGCCATAGTACCATGTATGACCTTGTCTCAGAAATCATTTCTACTTCAGTCCAGCCCACACTCAAGGGGAGAGAATTAAGCGTTACCTCTTGAGGGAGAAGTATCAAAGAGTTTGTAGGCATGTCTCAAAGTCATCACACCAGGTTAAAGAGTGGCTTGGCTCAGGATGGTGGCAGTGGGGGTCTGGTATGAACAGCAGAATTTGCTGATGTGGAGGTTATAGGGCATGGCCGGGTGGAATAAATCTGACTGTAAGGCTTTTGACTTGAGCAGCTAGAAGTATGGCAGTGCCATTTACTAAAGTAGGGAAGATTGGAGCAGCAGCAGTTTACTTTTGGAGTAAATTGAGATAGATGCCTACTCGACATCTACTTGGAGAAGTTAAATAGATGTTTGATTATGGTATAGCAGGACAGAGTTCCAGAGGAAGGTGTGGGCTAGAGAGTAACCCTGAGGGTTATGGGTGTGTAGGTGCTATTTGAAGCTGTGAAACAGGGTGCAATTTTCCTAGGAAATGAATGTAGGAGAAGAGGCCTGATGCCTGAGCCCTGGGCCCCCAATATTCAGATATCATGGAGATAAAGAAGGGCCAGCAACAAAGATTGAGTGGGAGAGACCATAAGTGAGAAGAGAACACAGAAACATCCCACATGTGTGACTTATATAAGGAATTTCATGCTAACTCCCTGCACCTCCACAAGAAGCAGAAATGGAGCCAGATGCAGTAGTGCACACCTGTAATTCCAGCGACTCAGGAAGCTGAGGTAGGAGGATTGTGAGTTTAAAGCCAGCTTCAGCAGCTTAGTGCAGTGCTAAGCAACTCAGACCCTGTCTCTAAATAAAGATACAAAAAAATGGCTGGGGATGTGGCTCAGTGGTTAAGCATTCCTGGGTTCTGTCCCTGGTACCAAAAAAAAAAAAAAAAAAAAAGAAAGAAAAGAGAAAGAAGCAGCAGCAGTAGCAGCAGCAGCAGAAATGGTGTCTGTACACAAAATGTCTCTATAGTGTTTTTACTCAGGAAATAAAATGTGTCCTTAAGTGCTTTTTCTTTTTTGCCATAAATGCCAAATTATATTTAATAATGCCAGTCTAGTTCTTAGTCCTTGTAGTATTTATACCTCTACTCCAAGTTTAGGTGGAGTTGTTCCTCTTTTAAACTTTATTTAAAGACTCCTTTTAAAATACGTTGGATGAGAGCAGACTAAATACATTATTCATATCACTATTCTGCTACCTTCTACCTTAAGTCCACAGGYGGCTCTTGGTCTTGAGTTTGCTGCCCTTCTCAATCTGATTTTTTTTTTAATATATTTTTTTAGTTGTTGATAGACCTTTATTTTATTTATTTATATGTGGTGCTGAGATCGAACCCAGTGCCTCACACATGCCAGGCAAGTGCGTTACCGCTGAGCCCCAGCCCCAGCCCTCAATCTGATTCTTGACAAAAGCAGGAAGTAGGTCCTGCTATTTCTGTACAACAGTGGCAGACTTGAATTCCTGTTGGAATTCCTGAGTATTTATGGGATAAACTAATGCATAAAGAAAGTGAATCTGTTCCCTTTTCCTGCAGTAATTATAAATCCTATTCAGTGGCTTACAGTTTACAGGCTACCTAGATGTTCATTATCTCATTTGAATGCAATCTAATCTGTTACCATTTGCCAGCTACTGACCTTTTCCTTTTCTGGAAACCTACCTTTCCTTTGGAGCTCTGCTAGTGTATCTAAAGTGTTAATAAAAGGGTGCTGAGCTATCTCCAGGAAGCTCAGAACTAAGTCTCAATTTTAGAAAGTTCCCTGATGTGATTTTTCTGTCTCTTCCTTTTTATTCTGATTTTAGTGAATTTCAGATTTACAATTTTTTGTTTTTTGTTTGGTACCAGGGATTGAATCCAGAGGTATCTTACCACTGAGCCACATCCCCAACCCTTTTTATTTTTTATTTTGAGACAGGGTCTTACTTAGTTGCTTAGCGCTTCACTAAGTTRCTGAGGCTGGCCTTGAACATGTGATCCTTCTACTTCATACTCTCAAATCATTGTGATTGCAGGTGTGTGCCACCAAACCTGGCCTTTTTTTGTTTGTTTAATCATAACACTTCAAGACCTTTTTTAAAATGAACTTTATTTATTTATTTTTTGGGGGGGATTCCAGGGATTGAACTTAGGGGCCCTCAATCACTGAGCCACATCCCAACCCCATTTTATATATATTTTTTTAGAGACAGGGTCTCACTGAGTTTCTTAGCGCCTCAGTGTTGCTGAGGCTGGCTTTGAACTCGCCATCTCCTGTCTCAGCCTCTGGGATTACAAGCATGCGCCACCACGTCCATGCTTAAAATTAGAGCAATTTTAGATTTATGGAAAAATTGCATAGTACACAGGGTTTCTATTTACCCAGTTTCTGCTGTTAGTGATATCTACATTATTATGGTATATTTGCTATACTTTTCAATCATTTTTTGAGATAAGTGGACATATAAACAAAATATGAGTAAAATAAACTTATTTCATCTTTATAAACCTGTTTCCTTATCTGTAAAAAGAGAGGGTTATACTAAACTTTTAAATAGCACTACAATTTTTTAATTATCTGCAATTTTATGTTTTTAAAATTATTTTATTTCTTTGTTGAAATATTACTGATATTATCTTCCCAAGTAATATTTGCATGTTACTGGCAACCTTATCCTAAAAGAGGATTAAATGAGAATTMTTGGAACTGTGACAAGGCTGTATATAGAGACATTAGGTTGAACTACAGGAAAGTGCCATTTCTGTAGGTTAAAAAATAAGGAGCGAATATCAGCAGTTTCCTATGGTTCAATCTGGTAATTTGGGATAGAGATTCAAAGGAGGGCAAGGGAGCCTTTGGTCCACTGAAGCTGCATGTGGAAAAGCCTGGCTCAACCCTCGAAGTATTAGGAGAGAAAAGGCACTTCAGTTCCTTTGAAGCAACTCAGATCTGCTCTTAATGTTGGTAGAGTGTTGGCAGAAATCCTGGGGTAAGGGAGCAGTTTTCTGGAAGGTCTGCCTCCACCCAGCAGAGAGGGATTGCGCTCCATCAAACTCTGAAGAGCCAGCACTTYCTGGTGCAATGGTTAGTTGGTTTTGCAGCCCTGGTGGAAAGGAAGGGCAGAAAAGGAAGATGTTTGTAATTTGGGGAAGGCTGAATTACTTCGGCCTGGGTTATTGGTATCACCAGACCTTCACTGGTGCCACACTACTGTCACTACTTTATTTATTTCTACTTTTTTGTCTTTTTTTTTTTTTTTTTTTTTGAACTAGGGATTAAACCCAGGGCTTTACAAATGCAAGGCAGGTGCTTTGATATCCCAGCCCTCATTGTTTTATTCTTTACTGCCCAGGAAAGGTTCCGAAGACTCAGGTGACTTCAGTTGTTCAGGATAAATTAGTAAACTGAGTTTTTCTCTATAACTCTAAGAAAAACTATAGCACGAGTACAATGATAAATGAGAACTGAAATCTGTTGTCAGTGTGAGGGAGAAAATAGTCATGGGACAGAGGAACTTTGGTGAACCAGAGAGTATCCAAAGGGGACAGGCACTATTCAACTACAACTTGGGTCATTTCATTGTGGGAATATGGCTCAAAGGTCATTGTACTCTAATTTTCCAAGAGTCAGAAATAAGGGTTTTTGTTTTTCTAATATTTTTAGTAATAGACACAATACTTTTAATTAATTTATTTTTTATGTGGTACTACGAATCAAACCCAGTGCCTTATACATGCAAGGSAAGTGCTCCACCACTGAGCTACAACCCTAGCCCAGTAATAACAGTTTTTAGTGTGTATTCCCCTAATTGTAAATGTTGAAACCTAACTTGAATTTTTAAAAATCATTGTATGTAGCTGGGTAGGGCGGTGACACCTGATATCCCAGCTACTTGGGTGGCTGAGGCAGGAGGATCACAAGTTCAAGACCAGCCTTAACAATTTAGCAAGACCTTGTCTCAAAAAAACAAAATAAAAAGGGTAAAGTGATAGCCTAGCTATCACTAGAGACCCTAGTTTTAATCCTTAGTGCCACCACCAAAAAAATAAAAAAAAAAAAAACAGTGATTGAAAAGAGCCAGCAAACCCCACTGATCTGCAATATCTGGCCTATGGTTTAGATCTGTCGGAGATCTGTGATATATTCTTACATATTTCTTTCATTCTTTTTTTTTTTTTTTGTGATGCGTGAGGATTGAACCCAGGGCCTTATGCATGCGAGACAAGCACTCTACCAACTGAGCTATATCCCTAGCCCCTCACATATTTCTTTATTATTACAGACAACTAAAATGATTTAGACAACTTCTGCCTTTGAGGGACTCACAGATTAGAAGGTGGACAAATAATGAAGATAAAATGTAATTAATCTGGACATTAGAATATATATTCTAGAATATATATGTATTTGAGAGAGTGAGTGAGTGTGTATGTTGTGTATAGCTATGAAAGTGGTAACTTCCTTCTGGGACCATATGATAGGAGGTGGCATTTGAGCCAGAATGTAAAAGATTTGCAGTTTGGTGCATGAAAGCATTTGAGGCTCCTAAAACTTCTAGTGTATGTAAATGCTAGATTTTCATTTGCTAGAAATACAGATACTCCTTAACCCTGCTGATGGGAGTCTTAGGGTTAATAACATGAAGGAACTCCCTGATCTCTCCTACACAGGTTGTAGAATAATTGTCAGTTTTAGARACTTAACAAATTCAGAGGTCATAGAGCTGGATGCCCTCATTTTTGGACAAGGGGACTGAAAGGGAAGTGGCACGCCTGAGGTCATAGCCCCCCATAATTTTTCTTTGCTACAATGCCTCCCCCTTTCTTGGGTATATCCAAAGGTCACTGTTAGGCTGGCTGCCTCTGCTGCAGGTGGCCCATTGCCCTATTTTAGCCCAGGTAGGTGAGAATGGTTTACTATCCTGGTGCAACTGTTTTTTTTTTTTTGGTTATTTGTTTGTTTTCTCTCTCTCTCTTCATTATTGGGGTTTGAACCCATGGTGCTTTACCACCAAGCTGCTTTCCCAGCACATCCCCTGCATTTTTTTGAGATAGGGTCTTACTAAATTGCCTAGGCTGGACTTGAACTTGTCATCCTCCTGCCTCAGCCTCCTGATTTGCTGGGATAATAGGCATGCACCATCTCACCCAGCCCACCCTTCTCTTTCTCTTTGGATCCCTTACCTGAAACATCAGCAACCCCTTTTCTTTGTCAGGGAGTCAGCTGTGTGACCTGGTACAAGTTGCTTGATCTTTCTAAGCCTCCGTTTCTTCATCCATGTATAAAGAGCTAGAATAGCACATGTGGTGAAGGGAGGTAGGAAGGTCTTGGAAGATTTCAAGATTCTTACATAGACACAATGATATAATGCATGTAAAGCACTAAAGCAACTGACCTGAATGATGATGATTCACATAATTCACAGCCCCCCAAGCTAGGTGAAATGCCTTCTTTTTTTTTTTTCCTCCATGCTAACCTGCACTCTTGTTGCATATGCTTCATTTTGTTGTAATTATTTGTGTCTGTTTCCCTTGCCAAACTAACAGCACATTCAGTAATTCCTTCAACAAATGTGTTCAYGGCTATGGTAGATATGAGGGATGCAGTAGTAAACCAGGAGCCCTTGGCTTCGTCAGAGTTCCAAAGRCATGCCAGGAAACGGTATTTCTGTGCGCTTGTCTCATGATCCATTAAATTTTGGGAATGATCCTCATCAGAACCCCATCTTAGAGATTAGGGTCTATCTTAAATTTTTCTTTTTTTAATGGAGTCTTGCTATGTTGGCCGAACTGGCCTTGAACTCCTGGGCTCAAACAATCCTCCCAACTCACCCTCCCAAGTAGCTGGGATTATAAGTGCTTACCATTTTTCCTGGATCTATCTTATTATGTTAGAGGTTCTGAGGAGTCCTGTAGTAGAGGAACCTGTTTACTTTGTCCAACCAAGTTTTGCCGTATACAAGTTTGTTGAATAAATTTGGGTCATCTGGACTGTTTTTTCAATTTCAGTTGTGCTTTGGTCTCAGCTCAAGAAGAAGTAGAAGTGGTACAGAAATGGTTAGAGAACCCTGCAGGGAGCAAACAGCCTCTGGATGCATAGGGACCTGTGGACTTGCTGTCTGATGCCCCCATGGAGACAGGAAGCACCAGGTTGAACGACATGAAGCCCCAGTCTCTGCAGCTGGTGCTGGAGGAGCAAGTGCTGGCTCTTCAGCAGCAGATGGCGGAGAACCAGGTAGTCTCCTGGCGGAAATTGAAGAGCTTCCAGGAGGCACAGCAAAGGCAAGCTGCCCTTGTGAGGAAGCTGCAGGCCAAGGTGAGCAGGGTAGCAGCTGGAAGAGGCAGAGCCAGGTGGGGGGGATGGCTCACACCTAGCTTGGTGACCTGAGGATCTGCATTGTTCAGCTTTCAAATATAGTTTCTTTGATCCTCACTACTACTTGACAAGGTCTGGATTGTGTCCTTTTAAAAATGAATTTCACACAGTGGCACATGCCTGTAATCCCAGCAGCTTGGGAGGCTGAGGCAGGAGGATTGCAAGTTCAAAGCCAGTTCAKCAACAGCAAGGTACTAAGAAACTCAGTGAAACCCTGTCTCTAAATAAAATATAAAATAGGACTGGGGATGTGGCTCAGTGGTTAAGCACWCCTGGGTTCAATCCCTGGTACAATAAATATTTAAAATAAATGACTTTCTAAGGAAGCTGGGCATGGTGGTTCATACCTGTAATCCCAGCTAGTTGGGAGGATGAGTTAGGAGTATCACAAGTTTGAGGCCAGCCTAGGCAACTTAACAAGGTCATATCTCAAAATGAAAAATAAAAAGAGCTGGAGGTGTAACTCAGTGGTAGATCACCCCTGGGTTCAATCCCCAGTACCAGGAGACAAAAAAGGTGGCATTTACAAGGGTTAAATTAGTTGCCCAGGGGCTGGGGTTGTTCCTCAGTGGTAGAGCACTTGCCTAGCATGTGTGAGGCCCTGGGTTCGATCCTCAGCTCCACATAAAGATAAATAAATAAAATAAARGTATTGTGTTTMTCTATAACTAAAAAAAAAWTTTTTTTWAATTAGTTGCCCAGGAGCTGGGGATATATAGCTCAGTTGGTAGAGTGCTTGCCTCGCATATACAAGGCCCTGAGTTCTATCCCCAGCAACACACACACACATACACACACACACACACACACACACACACACACACACATACACACACACAAAATTAGTTGTCCAGGCTTGTTCTTGTCTAGAGCTGAGATCTGACCCATCTGATTTATGGTTTTGTTTTTCTGATGTAAGAGGCTTATTGAAAATATTCTTTTTATATCCAAATAGACAAATAGAAACCACCATCACCACCCAGTTCTATTCACTGCAGGTTGCCCAAATTATGAGAGAACTTTGGTTTGGGCTTTTTGTACCAGCTGTGTCCATTGCTTAGAGTGTGCTGTCTTTGCCTTAGGTTTTGCAGTACCGGAGCTGGTGCCAAGAACTGGAGAAGCGACTGGAAGACACTGGAGTAAGTGAGGCTGAGTTCCATGTTCCCCTGAGCCCTCAGTAAATGTACTTGTTAGGCTTTATTTTCTGAGGGTGGCCAGGATATGATAAGGGGTGTATGCTAGAAGTCTCTCTTCAGCCTCTGAAAGTTCTGTCAACAGAAATCTTCCTTGCACCTTGCTATGGCTGGTCTATGAGAKTCCATCCCTTGGTTTTCTAAGGACCAATGCAATATCAGGGGACTTAGCCCTATGTGCRAGTGGAACTAGAGGGAGGAAATGCATCCTTCATCCAGCAGGTGTCATTGTTTCTCTGTGGTAGGAGAGGTGTTCCTCTAAGACCTACAACGCATGTCTACTGTCTACGCTAGAGGGATCTATTTGTATCTTGGCTGGGCAGAATTGGCTTTGAAAGACCCATTTGTCTTAGTTCCAGCTCCCTCAGGCACCTGATCACATTCTCCTCAGAAAAGTTCTGTTGCAGGAAGGAAAGAACCAAAACATATTGAGTACCTCCTTTGCAGGTAGGGCAAAGATTGTGGTATAATTATGTCACTTAGTCGACAAAAGAACTTTCTGAGAAGAGTGAYATTACTTTCATTTTGTAGCTGAAGACACTGTAGCACCAAGAAGTTAAGTGACTTTACAAGGTCCAAAAATTATTATAGTAAAAATCAAGGCCATTAATGAACAATAATCTTATGCTTCTTAGGCTCAAGGTTCTTTTTAAAACCAAATGCCATCTTTCAGAAGAGGTTATTGGTTCATTTTTGGAAAGAGGGATGCAGTGGATTTGCTTCCAGGACATAGTGATTGAGAAAAGAAAGGAAATTGCTATCGAGGGAGAAAGAATTAAAAAAAAAAAAGTGTGCTGCTATGGAAAGAGGCCTCAGGGAATTGGCTTGAGTGATGTTCTCTTTGGAAGTGAATAAGGCTTGTTTCTGTCTGGCAAAGGGGCCGATTCCTCCGCCTTGGGAAAGTGTGGAAGAGCCAAACCTGGAACAGCTGCTAATCCGATTGGATGAGGAGCAACAGAGGTGATGGACCCCATATTTTCTGACCTGAGTGTTTGGCCAGTGGGTGGAGAAGTCTGATGAAAAAACTGTCCTGAGGGCTAATATGGATTAGAACCATCCTGGCAATGGAAAATTCCAGTCATTGTCATCTCACTCTCAAGAGGTCTAAGGGGTGGCGCAGGCCTTTATTTTGCATTTGCTGTTTCCCCTCCCCAGTGCAGGTGTGAGAGTCTAGCAGAAGTGAATACTCAGCTTCGACTGCACGTGGAAAAAGCTGACGTGGTGAATAAAGCCCTTCGGGAAGACATGGAAAAATTGACAGTGGACTGGAGTCGGGCCCGGGATGAGCTAATAAGGAAGGAGAGCCAGTGGCGGATGGAGCAGGAGGTAGGAAGGACAGAGAGCAGAACTGAGAGAAGAGGGCTGTGCATTCTGAGTGCTGCCCTGGTCAGTGCTGGAAAGGATTAACTTCAGAAAATGGATGGAAACTGCACTGTTGTCATTAAAGCCCCTGACTATCCTTACCCATGCAGACGGCTTTGCCCATGCTAGCCAGGCCTGTGCTAGCAGCTCTGCTCTGTTAGGCTTTCTTAGTTCTGCATTACCTACGTAGTCTAGGTCTTGCTGGTGGCATGACACTCAAAGCACTCTCTTCTTGCAGAAATGACTAGCTTTGATTTCAAATGGATCTGAAGGTTTACTGGTCCCCTTCAGCTGGAGATCTGCATAGCTAGATGCCATGAAGGTGGTTACTAAGTTGCATGAAAAAGAAAAGACAGTTAGAGATCCTGAAGAATTTTCAGGTTCTAGCTAAAGGAAACCAATGTTTCTTGAGCCCTTGCTCTATGCAAGGTGACTTACATATGTTAGATYACTTACTTCTCCTTATAAGTTTATGATAATAGCCCCCATCTAAGCAGCCACTGCATCTCCTTTTCTAATCTAGCTGAGGTCGTTTGTCCTTAAAGTCCCTTCTTTCACCCTAGCAGTCAGGAGTAATTCAAGACTCTTATACTGGCAAAAGATAGTCCTCTGCCCTTGGGTATGACCCAGGTTTCTGAACACACAGTTCTTCAAGGGCTATCTGAAGGGGGAACATGGTCGCCTTCTCAATCTATGGCGGGAGGTAGTGACCTTCCGACGCCACTTCCTGGAAATGAAGTCAGCAACTGACAGGTCAGTGTGGGAATAAGAAGGGAGGAGGTTTGCCCTTATTGATTCTGAACTTAAGGCAGTGGGCTGCTGTAGAAGGGGAATCAGGTGGAGATGGGGGGGTGCTATTGTTCATTTCAGGTGATTTTTTTCACATACCTGCCCCTCAGGCTTATTGGGCCTGATCTCCAAGTTCCCTTGGTTCCTATTGGAGTCTGCTCTTTTCCTTGCTTGTACTCAGAGATCTGACAGAGCTAAAGGCTGAACACGCGAGGCTTTCAGGGTCCCTGCTGACCTGTTGTCTGCGCTTGACCGTGGGAACACAGTCTCGGGAATCCAGTGGATCTGGGAGAGCGGACAGGAGTGAGCCACCCCAGTTGCTGCTCCTACTAGCCAAGACTCAGGAGCTAGAGAAGGAAGCCCATGAGAAGAGCCAGGAGTTAATACAACTCAAGAGCCAAGGGGATCTGGAGAAAGCTGAACTTCAGGATCGGTGAGATGGCCTGAGGTCCCAGGAAAGGCTCCCTGAGGGAAAACTGACTCATTAGAGAGTTATGGAAARGCAGGAGAGAAACCAAGAGTGTTCCTACCATGAGAGGGAAAATAGATGTGCTGGGATAGTCTAGTTTGAAACCCAGTGCCATAGTTGGGGCTTTCACTGACCTCTGCCTTCAGATTACCTTGTAGCTCAGTTTTTCTCGTGTAGATTTGTATAGCTAGCTGTGACTCTGTCCTCTATCAATAACAAACTATTTGCCATACCCAGAATTACCAGTTCTTCCATGTTTCTCTGCCTTTGTATATGTTGACCTTGGCCTGGAATGCCACCCTCCCTTCCCCTCTGCTTTATCCTCTAAAGCATAGATCACATGTCACCTCTTCTACAAAACCTTCTGTTAATTCAGTAGTCTGTTATGTTACTTTGTCCCTGTGGTCTTTTGGCCTGCTTGTTACAGCATTGATCTCATTGTATTCCATTAATTATTTAGTTTCTTGCTGATTTTTTATTTTTGTGGTGCCTGGGGATTGAACCCACGGCCTTTGTGTGTGTGTTAGGCAAGTGCTTTAACATAATAACACGAGTGTTTTAATTCTGGGTTTATAATGAAATGGGATTTTTATTTTTTTGGTATTGAGTATTGAATTCAAGGACATTCTATCACTGAGACACATCCCCAGCCCTATTTTTTGTACTTTATTTATACGCAGGATCTCACTGAGTTGCTTAGTGCCTCGCTTTTTGCTAAGGCTGGCTTTGAACTCTCTATCCTCCTGCCTCAGCCTCCCTAGCAGGCAGGATTATAGGCGTGTGCCACCATGCCAGGCATGAAATGGGATTTTTAAATGATGATAAGAAGGGCAAAGACAAAAGCAGAGAGTCCCATTGAAATTTGAAGCAAAGTTTATATCCTATACTTAGGATTGTCTCTCCACCCATTGATGATATATATAAACATACAAAATGCAGGATTATTTTGTTTGGTTTTTGCTTTTGGAGACACTGAGAAGCACAAAGACAACGACCATGTAAGTTAATTTTATGTCTCTAGTGCTTTGGACTTATCTCCATATAGTAGACACTAAATAAATGTTTGTTGAATGATACAATAATTAAACGAATGACCATTTGGTGAGTTGGGCTCTTGGAATTGGTACATGATATAATTATTAAGATTTTTTATAAAAATAYTTAAACCCCTGAATAATATTCACTTAAGAAATACTTGTGGACGGGTGCAGTGGCTCATGCCTGTAGTTCCCAGCAGCTTGGGGGACTGAGGCAGAAGGATCACTAGTTMAAAGCCAGCCTCAGCAATTTAGCAAGGCACTAAGCAACTCAGTGAGACCTCTAAATAAAATACAAAATAATGGTTGGGGATGTGGCTCAATGGTTAAGTGCCCCTGAGTTCCATCCCAGTACACCCCATCCCCACCCCCTGGCAAAAAAAAAGAAAGAAATACTTGTTTAGCCACCCACATGATGCCAGGCACTAAGCTCCATGATATAGTGTTAACCAATAAAGATGTTACTGACTTTAGAGTAATATCAGGGAGATTGACCRTATTCTATCTGAATCACCCTCCTTTTTCCCTATCAGAGTCAGAACCTTGGGCTGGAGGGACTTGGGACTATCCCATGTGTCAATTTTGATATTCTTATTGGCTTCAGGGTGCTTGACTTCAAGATCAAGCGAGGCCTGGAAGGGCCTGGGCCAGGGCTTTCCTTCAGCTCTTGGCCCCCAAACACGAGTTCCAGCCTTGAGATGTGGTAAATCCCTGCATGTGTTTGAGTGGCTTTTGGCTTCCTGCTCCCAGTTCAAAGCTAGTAGCTTCACATGGTATTCAGGGAGTGCCCAAGGGATTCTGGGGGGCTGCAATGGAAGTGTCTTTGGGGCTGGGGTGTGCTGCATAGTAGCTTTACCTGCTCCATGGGATGCCTAAGTGACAGTGCTGTGCTCTTCTYGTTAGAGTGACGGAGCTGTCTGCTTTGCTGGCCCATTCTCAGAAGCAAAATGAAGAGTATGAAAAAATGCTAAAGGCTCTGAGAGAGACAATGGAGATCCTGGTACATAATCCTTTGTTCTGGAAAAGAATTGGGAGTGGGCTTGTAGGTTCCTTCCTCCTTTATAAACAGGTAGTATAGAATACCACTAAATGTTTCTTAATGAAGTTCTCCAAAGCCAAAAAAATAGATTTTGATTGAATCTGAYAATAAACCCATGAATTTATTCATTCAAAAAATATTATTAACTGTTCTCTATCTCAACTGTTTTCCTGGGAAAATTATAATGGCATATGGATGCCATGTGTTCTTTTCAGAGAGAAGTAGCATATACTTTAAGAGACAGARTGTCAAATTAGCAGGTTACCTGGGAAATAAATGAGGAATATRGCAATTTTTAGCCTGGAACAAAAGGACTTAAAGAAGTCAGGGTGTCTGTCTTCGCACATGGAAGTCTGACATTGGGGAAAAAAGATTGATGCATTTAATGTTTTCCAGGACAAAACCAATATCAGAGGTTAGATATCATAGGGTAGGAGGTTTAGCTCACAGCTAGAACTACTTGAATGGTCTGTCTTTTTTTTTTTTTAATATTTTTTTAGTTGTTGACAGACCTTTATTTTCTTCATTTTCTTATAYGTGGTGCTGAGAATCAAACCCAGTGCCTCATACATATCAGGCAAGCGCTCTACCACTGAGCCACAATCCCAACCCCATTGAATGGTCTGTCTTATTAAAGGAGCAAAGCTTTGATTACTGACTTAACATGTGACAGGGATGTTATTAAAGAAGTTCTTTAAAGTTGCTTGTTAGAACCTCTGGCTTGATTCCATATTTTCCTTTATTTCTATRAATTTTCAGATTTCTGATTTTAAGCAGCTCCTGAACCCCTATSTATATTCACACCCCTAATTTTTTCATCCAGACTGGGGTCACCTGGGAGCTGGACTTGTTTTGTGTTTTCTTGATTTCTTTCTTTTTTTTTTTTTAAATATTTTTTTTAGTTGTCAATGGACCTTTATTTTATTTATTTATATGCGGTGTTGAGACGCGAACCCAGTCTCAACATGCTAGGCAAGCCCTCTACTGCTGAGCCATAACCCCAGCCCTCTTGATTTCTTTTTGTCAAGAATTTGCCAGTTCAGACATCCATGGGGCTTAGAAGTAAGTGAATGAAGTGGATGAGTTGCAATACTTCTTATTTTCYAATGCTATCTTGTTTAGTTTTCAGTAAAGCAGGGGAAACTTGAGTTCAGTACTAAGGAAACAGTGAGGAGTGGCAAGGAATTAAAGACCCCAAATAAATGTCTCATCTTGAGGAGGTATCCATTGTTCAACTTCAATAAATAATTACCATCTAGGAATGGGGGCTRGGTGTAGCTCATTTTTAACTTTTTTGAGAGAAGCCAGAACTTCAGACTTTTTGCAAAGTCTCTCCCTTTATACATGTTGATTCTCTCCCTTTATACATTTTGGCTAAATAAAACATCACTACAGGTCTGTGTTTTCAAGCCTAACATAAGTGCAGTAGGAAGAGAGGAAATCTTGAGTCTTCAAGATTATTACTAGCTTTGGGSCTAGAGCTGGTTTATAGCCATGGCTCTCAGGCATCGATTTACTATTTGGAGGCAGCAGCCATCCCCCATCCAATAATAGCTGACATCTGTTGAGTGTTTGCTTTGTATCGGCACKATGTTGTAGAATTTATGTGCAGCTTTTAATTTAAGACTCCAAAAAAACTTATGAAATAGTTGCTTTTAATTATTCCTATTTTTAAGAGAAAAGTTCAAAGAAGGAATTGCCAAAAGTTACCAACCTAGTAAGTGATAGAGCAAGAACCYTAACCTAGGCAGGCTAATTTGGAGCTTTTAATCACTTCATCTGAACTTTTTATCATCACGTTGCATTGTTTCGGACTTCTTGGAAAAGTGGGGTTGACAGAATGAGCAGAATAAGACTTTGGTTGATTTTGTGGTCTGTAATTACAAATTATTTTTTGAGAGTTTGGCTCTTAGGCTCTATTCTTTTTTTATATTTTTTATTTTAATTGTTTTAGTTGTAGATGGACACAATATCTTTAATTTTATTTATTTGTTTATTTATTTTTATGTGGTGCTGAGGATCAAACCCAGGGCCTCACACGTGCAAGACAAGCACTCTACCACAGAGCTACAGCCCCAGCCCTCTATTCTATTCTTTATGCAGGAGTCAAATCACACAGAATTAATGGAACATGAGGCATCTCTTAGTAGRAATGCCCAAGAGGAGAAGTTGTCTTTACAGCTGGTGATCAAGGAGATAACACAGGTACTGGTAAGCCTGCTGTCATGGTACCTAGGTAATGCTTCATTCCTCTCCCCAGTCTTCCATGTCCTCTCACATGCCTAGATTTCCAGTCTCTGAGGTTTGGACTTAGGGTCTTGTGGGATGAATGCTCTGTWTTTGAAGATGAGATCCTTAAAGGATAGGTAAGCATTCATATCCTGGCACTATGTGGTGGGACAGGACCTCTTTCCTGTCACCAGCTGCAATTCTCAAGCCAGAGAATGGATTCTGGTCTTTTGTCACTTCAATAGCCTCTTCTTCCTTTGTTCCCTTATTTATTATTATCTCAGAGAATGTTCTGGCCTTGTTGCTAGTCTTAGATTTGGGTGACCACAGGTGGAGTGTTGAAGAAATGAGCCTTTTTTTCTCTCAGATACCTACTCTAACCCTCAGGGAAAGGACCYGAGAAGGAAAACCTCAGATTCTTCTGGCTGTAGTGTGAGCTAAGCTCCTGCATGGACTCTAGGCTTCAGTCAGTAGGGTGGTGACAGTGTTGTGTTGGTTTTCAGGCCTTGGTGGAAGAAGGGGACAACACTGGCCAAGGCTCTGGTCATGAGAGCTCCTTGAAATTGGACTCTAGTGGCTTCTCCTCCCACTTTGATTCCCAGGATCCAGACAAAGCTCTTACTCTGGTGCGTTCAGTGCTGACTCGGAAACACCAGGCTGTGCAGGTGAGGCTCCCTAGTGTTCCTCAGTCAATAACGTGGCAGCTAAACTGACAGATGCCCCAAGTACCTCCCTAGCGTGGACTATCCCTTTCAGTGGACCAGTCATGAGGTGTCTGTTCAACACCCCAGAGTGTTCCTTAGAATTTCTCCATGTYTGCCCAGTTATACTGTGGGTAACAGGCTGATTCTCCATGCCTGTGGCAACTTCACATTGTACAACAGTGTTTATTACTATGAAAAGAGCTCTGGTAGAGTATGGGTATGAGTTCCCCCAATCTGAGGGACCTAGGCACACTTGCTATCCCCCATGCCACTGTACTTTTGAAGATGATGAACTCTTTAACACTCTAGAGCTCCAAAAGCAAATAATCCCTTGTCCTCCGACTCAACCAGTCACATCTCTATTCCCAGCTTGCCCTTGTACCAATGCCTAACCTCATGTCCAAATGGACTTTCAGACTTCTGAAATCCCTCCTTTGCCCTTGCCCTCTTGCTTATCATCTCGTTTCTACTGCTGTCCCTCCACAGGACCTAAGGCAGCAGCTTTCAGGCTGCCAGGAAGCAATGAGCTTCTTGAAGCAGCAACACGATCAGTGGGAGGAAGAGGGCAAAGCCCTGAGGCAGCGGCTGCAGAAGCTCTCTGGGGAGCGGGATGCTCTGGCAGGGCAGACTGTGGGCCTCCAGGGCGAGGTGGACACTCTCAGCAAGTGAGCAGATGGGCTGTTCATCCCTACTCCCATGTCTGGTTTCTGTCCTCAWCCACACCCATTTACCAGTACCCATTATATCTTTGGTCAGCTCCTCCTGACATCCCTGAGATCCAGGGCTGCTTTGCTTTGTGTTCTATTTAACAAGCTTTTGGGTTTTTGTGTTTTGAAATGATTAAAAAACAGTTTCCTGCTCAAAAGGAAAGATGGAATGTTCTCCTTTGACCTTGTGATGTCTGCTTCCAGCAAGGATTTTAGGTCCCAAGATCTGCTCATTTCTGGTCTCTTCGTTCCAGGGAACGAGAGCTCCTGCAGAAGGCCAGGGAAGAGCTGCAGCAGCAACTAGAGGTGCTAGAACAGGAAGCATGGCGGCTCCGAAGGGCAAATATGGAGCTGCAGCTGCAGGGTGACTCTGCCCAGGGGGAGAAGGAGGAGCAGCAGGAAGAGTTGCACCTGGCTGTTCKGGAGAGGGAGCGTCTGTAAGTATGACCAGTTTTGTCCTCTCTGGCTTTTCTTTAGTTCCACACTTCCCCACCTGCTCCTCTATTTTAGAAAGTGGACTGTCTAGAAGCCTGGCACAGAATGGGTAAGATTAGCTTACTACTTTCCTTTGCAGAAAGATGAATACACAAAGTTCATCCAGACTTTGTTGAGCACCCATAGAGATGAGGCACTGTAAGGAATATAAAAATGAATAACAGATAGACCTCATCTCAAGAAACTTGCAATAATGGAGAAGACACAAGTAAACAACTGAAATGAGAGTAGATGAAGTATAAGCTAAATAGGCATTCGAGCCTGTTCCTTTCRTAGTATAAGAGTAACAGTTAATTATTGAGAACCAGGAAGAGCTTTAAGGAGTAGGAGATGGTTTGAGTAGGACCTTGACCTATTTTGATAGTGAATAGCAGAGAGGCTAAAGGAACAGAATAGCAAAGAAAAGGAAGCAAGAATGTTCGTGGCATGTTCGGAGTAGGCTGGGATGCTAACAGATGAGACAGGGAAGTAATGGGAAATAAACTTTGCTTTCAAGAAGGGAATTTGAGAGTCAATATTAAATCTATGAATTCTCTTATATGATGTTGCACAAGGAACAGGGACTTTAGAGCTGAATGAAAGCTTGGTTTAGATTCTGGATCTGTCATGGACAGATTATTTGTAAAATGGGGATAAGACTATTTACCTTGAAGAATTAATGGAAAGAAGTGTTTTAGAAAATGTCAGCATARAGCCTGGCATACAGTAGGTCTTGAATAACTGGTAGCAGGGTTATCTTTTCTTCACCCTTGGTATATTCCCCCTCCTCTTCTGTACTCTAGTTCTTTGCAACTAGTGGGCATGAAGAGGATAAACTTGAAAGACTGCCAAAAGGGTCATGCCCTGTCCTGGGAAGGATCTCCCGTGCACCAGGTAGAAGGCAGACAATCTGCAAATAGTTACATTTTTAAAACTTTTCTTACCTGACTTGATGACATAGTTATATGATTCAAAAGGAATTTTAAAAGATTCACAAAAGATAGACATATGAAGTCTTACTTCCATCTTTGCTTTCTACATCCTGTTTCCCTTCCTCCTCTAAACTATTTAAATTAATTTCTTGTTTATCTTTCCCATGCTACTTCATGCAAACATAAGCATAGATTCTTCTTTCTCTCACATTTTTTGCATAAAGAAATGTATACATT